CCCCACCTACTTCGACCCACTCCCCGCCCTCCATCATTCATGCCATCAATCTTTCAGCCTCCTCCTCCATTTTGTTGCGGTTCCTTCCTATCCATCTGTTCACTTGTCGCACAGACGTCTGTCCGGACATCTTCGAATGACTGTTCGAGATTGATGGAATCATAAAGGCCGTGGAAGGACTCCTCGAGTTTCTCTCGAATATACACCTCTGGTCTGCTGGCAATAATAAATCGGAGGGGAAGGGAATGGTCGTTGACAATGGATCCTATCAAGCGCAAGATTTCTAGTTGCACGCTGGGGTCTTCGCACTCGTCTAGGCCGTCGATAAGCATGATTTGAGGTCCAGAGTCTGTGAGCAATCTGCATGGCTCAAGGATCAATTTTCGTAGTTGCACAGCCATGCCTCTCCCAACAACAGACGGATCGTTTTCTACGGCCTGCAAAATGTGGGGCTTCAAAGCGGGATTATTCAGTGCGAGCTGGTAGGCAAGTGTCGCAATCAATCCTTTCGCATTGCCGCGAGTGGTGTGGTCCCGCCTAAAGAAGAAGCTTGCTCCGAGACGTTCGGAGTCCTGCAAGTCCTGGGCTACAGTCCGCATGATGGCCGATTTGCCAGCCCCAGCGGCACCATGCAGCCAGAGGATTGGGGAGCTAGAAGTACTCTTAGTCCAGTTACTTATACGTTCGAGTAGTTCTGCACGCGTTTCAGAATGGCTTCTAGGTTGGGGGAAACTCTCCGCGGAGTCGTGCAGCGCCTCCAAGACGACTCCGCGATGGAGAAGATGTATTCCCGTTTCTCCGTGGTGGTGGTTGTGGTTGACGTTCTCTGCGGTGATGAATATTCCGCCATGGGTAGATGGCGGTGACTCGGCCTGGAAGCGATCCAGGGGGCCTTGGTAGCGAGATTCGCTACCAAACGAGTCCGCTCGGTTATCGGAAGCCTGTCGTCCATGCTCAAAATCGGACAAGGAATCGTTTCTGCTCCAATCTGATGGAACAGACGTGGGGTGATTCTGGTGCGGTCGCGTTGAGCAGCTACCGAGATGTGGCGTATTACTTGAGTGTTGATAGTCGAGAGGATGTGTGGATAGTGAATCGGAGAAAGGGGGAGGACCGATTGAAAGGGAAGACGAAGTCGCAATGTAACGTCGACTAAATTCCGATCCAGCGTCACTGGGAACGCGACCAAGCCTAGGCTGCCCCGAGGACGACGGGACTGGATTGGAGGAATCCCTCAGTAAATGTGGTCGAGAAGAGGCAGCTTTCAGGGATATGAGACAAAAAGAAGTGAGTATTTTATTTGAGACGCACCGTAGGGCGCCTGCCTCGCTCCACGGTGCGGGTTCCTACCCGCACCCGACAATTCGCGGCTGGAGCTTTCAGTCCAGCCGTCTTCCAGTGCCGAAATCGAGCCTGCTAGCGGTCGAAGACCTGCACCATGCGGCCAGTGGTCCTGGATCGTAAGGTGCTGGTGAGACTCGAGGTTCACGTCGCCGGAAACTTCATAGAAACTTCCGCCATGGATCTGGACACCGGTACTGTTGTTTATGAGGGGCATTTTGAAGAGGACGACGGGGGCGAGGCGGGGATTTTAAGGTGGAAGACAATCAATGAATTAGATACAGCGAGCAACTCGGAGCAAGACACGTGTACATCGCCAGGAAGCTACACAGCCAGAAAGCTGTTGTAAGCTGTAAGCGCGACAAGGTTGATTCTAGCGCCTTCCGGAAGGAGAAGGAGCAGCACTATCAATATCCCGCTGCCAGCCATTTTGAATCTATGTGTTTGAAGAGTCGAAGTCGGAAGAAGGCGGTTGAGTGTAAGTACTACTTTCCTTTCTTGACGCATTATTAATCAAAACATGCGTTGCCGGAGACATCATAGAAATTTCCGCCATGGATCTGGACACCACTGCTGTTGTCTATGAGAGACATTTGCGAGAGGACGACTGGGGTAATGCGGTTGAAGGTGGAAGACACGTGATTAATTAGACGCACCGCATGGACAACGCCAGGAAGCTGTCCTTGGACACAGCCAGAAAACTGTTGTAAGCTTTCATCATGGTGATTTCAGCGCTTAAGGCTGCGCGCTTGGGTAGAAGTTCTACGATAACACAATGGCATACGGATCAAGCAAAATAGCACTTTCCAATAGAAAGAATGCTGTGCCTTCAATATATCACCGGCGCCGGTCACGTGAGGGCCGACTCCCCCTTCTTTTTTTTTGTTTCTTGCATTTCTATACCGCAACAAACTAAGCTAAGGTGTGGTGCCCCTGGTTGAGGGGCAAATAAATAGTATGTGTTATGTGTATGAGGAGGAGGAGGAGGAGGAGTATATTACTGCGGAGATCCCAATAAGGAACAAGCAGGTGCTGTATGTATGTGTTGAAGCGTCTGTCTAGGAGAGACTATGCTCTTCTTGGGTCATCAGGTATAGGATATTGCGTATCACAAACGCAGACACGGGGCAGTTGAGCTGCCTGCACTTGACAATAATTTATAAAAATATTTACAATAGAGGCAGCGGTGCGCCGTGCACCACGTCCACTTTCCACTTCCCTTTTAGCCCTCTTCTCATCCCTGTTTCTTTGGCAGTCTGTTGGAAAAAAAAAAAATTGTAAGAACGAGGCTATGCAGACGCGGGAAGTTGAACCCCGGTTGACTGCTTGAACTCTCATCCACGTCCAGCACTGAAGGCAGCGGTACCGTCCACTTCGTCCGCTTCTTGCCCCCCTTCCGACCTTTTTTTCATCCGGGTATTCGCAGCCTCCGACAAAAAGGATCAGCAGAGAGAAGCAGGCGGATGCGGACGTGAGGAGTCGAACCCCATGAATTGCTCGCAATATCTTGCTGGACGAGCTAATTCAAACAGTGGTACGCCATGAACCACGTCCGCTGCTTACCTCCCTTTATGCCCTTTTATCCAAGCCTACGATAAAGAAAAATAGGCGAGGAATAGGCAAGGCGGACGCGGGGAGTCGAACCCCGTTTGACTGCTTACATGCTTTTACTACGCGGGGCAATTGGAAGCAGTCGTGCACGGTGCACCATATTCGCGTATAAGACCCCATTCTGTACTTGGGTTTATCCAGGTTTTTGGCCTGCACAAAAATCAAATGCGAACCGTGAGAACAAATGTCTGCCAGGCGGATGCGGGCACCTAGCCTTTTTAACAGGTTCATATCCAGGTTGGTTGCTGAATATGACAGACTCGCCATGCAGCTTCTATTTTAACCCTCCATATTGGCGTGTTTTGGAAGCACGTAAAAAAATAAGATGTTCATGTGGATGCGGGGAGTTGAACCCCGTTCAACTGCTTACAATTTCAACCTTGTTCAAATGCTGCAGTGGTGCACCGTGCACTACGTCCGCTTGATACCTCCCTTCTTACCCTCTTCTCATCCAAGGCTTTTTGCCTGGGAGAGAAAAAAAATGACAAGGTACCGGGTGTAAGGAATGATTTACCTATTTTACTTATTTTATCAATACTCTTTAGCTACAAGTCATGTGCTCAGTAGTAGCATGTGATTATCATTACTTCTTATCTCAAACCGCCATCGTGCCCTCCAAGTCCTCGTCGAGTTCCTCCGAGACGCCTTACCTGTTGAGTCTCTCCGGGAAGAGGCACTAGGCACTAGGCGGTACCATTTAACTCTACACTCTCAAGCCTTTGCCTACGCGCCAAGCCTTACTCGTTGATACGCTCCGAGAAGAGGCATTGCGCATTAGGCGACTCTTATACACTATCAAATACGGCTCAGAGCTAAGGAGCCCTTGTTCTATCGCCCTTTCTCGAGTCTTTACAGTATTTGAACAGGGTCGTTGCCAGCAGGCAACCACATTATAAGCCTTATCTCCCGCCAGGGCATGCGTACGACGAATCCCCTATTGTAGACTCAATTCAAGTCTTACACCGGGAAGGGCGGACGCGGGGAGTCGAACCCCATCAACTGCTTGCACTTCCTGCACGGCACCAAGAAAGGGCGGTGCGCCGTCCACTACGTCCGCTCCCTGCCTTGTGGAAGCCTGCGCCCGCCAGCGTCATAGACCTCTACACCAAAAGGCAGCATAATCAACAACTAGTTGTTGACTACCGGCGGACTATATATGCCGTAAGCCAGCAGGCTTACACCTTGCCTCTTCTTACGCAAGCTTTTTGGATATTTCGAACACAAGAAAAAAAACAAAGGCCCAAGAACATGCGGACGCGGGGAGTCGAACCCCATCAACTGCTTGTAAGCATTTGCCAGTGATTCAATGTAGTGGTGCACCGTGCACTACCTCCGCTTCCTACCTCCCTTCTTCTCCTCCCCTTACCCAAGTCTTTCTCAGCCTACGAGAAAAGAAAGTGTCAGCAGAAAGGCGCATGCGGATGCGGGGAGTCGAACCCCGTTTGACTGCTTGCACTTATGAAGGATGTCCGAATTGAATGCAGTTGTGCGCCGTGCACCACATCCGCTTATTCTCTACTTTCTCCTCCTCTCATATCCAAGCTTTACAGTATTCGAGAGATAAGTGTGAGAATGGGGTATCCAAAAGAGTGGGGAGAGTAAGGAAAGTAGGGAAAGCAAGATCTAGATTATTTATTCCAAGATGTACGAGGGCTTTTATACCTCAGAGAACAATGTAGTATACAATCATAAACAGAAACATTGAACAATGGAGCGTACAGTGTTTCAGACCAGCTGAAACGTGTTTCGCAACATTGCTGTGCATCTCCATGCCAGCATTCCAAACAGCCACGTAGGTAAATGAGTGCACAACGTGTCGGCTTGGTAATATTCCAACAATAAGAAAAGGCAGAAAATATCTATCTAGGCGGACGCGGGGAGTCGAACCCCGTTCAACCACCTGAAATCATATGGACATCCAGTATTGATTGCAGCGGTGCACCATGCACTACGTCCGCTTCCTACCTCCTTTTCTCTCCTCCCTTACCAGGCCTTACCCAGCCCTCCACAGGCTTTGATAATAACAAGTCGAGGCGAGAAAGGCAGAAGGCGGACGCGGGGAGTCGAACCCCGGTGAGCTGCTCGCAATCTTCTTCGACACGAAATTGAAGGCAGTAGTGCACCGTGCACTACGTCCGCTTGTAATATCTCGTTTTGAACTTGGGTTTATGCAGGGTTTGGTAGCTTTTAAGTAGAGAAAAAGACTGAAGGGGATCGGTCAGTCATGCGGACGCCGGGAGTCGAACCCAGTTTTACTGCTTACATTTTTTGTTCGTACACCATATTGAAGGCAGTAGTGCGCCGTGCACCACGCCCGCTTCCTCCCTTCATTTCTTTCCTATGTAGGTTTTTGACCTGCACAAAAGCAAATCCGAACCGTGAGAACAAATGCCTGCCAGGCAGATGCGGACACCTAGCTTTTTCAACAGGTTCATATCTTAGTTGGTTGCAGAATATATGATGGACTCGCCATGCGACTTCTATTTTGCCCCTCCATATTGGCGTGTTTTGGAAGCACGTAAAAAAAAATTTGATCTGACTGTAACAAGATGTTTATGCGGACGCGGGGAGTCGAACCCCGTGCAACTGCTTACAATTTCAACCTCGTTCAAATGCTGCGGTGGTGCACCGTGCACCATGTCCGCTTCCTACCTCTGTTCTTACCCTCTTCTAATCCCTGTTTTTGTGGCAGGCTGCTGGGGAAAAAAAATTGGAAGAAAGATGCTATACGGACGCGGGGAGTTGACTGCTGAGCATTATTGAAGAAAGCTCATTGAAGGCAGTTGTGCACCATGCACCACGTCCGCTTATTCTCTGTCCTATTTCCCTTTCCTCATCCATCTTCTAGCAGTCTACTGAAAAGAAAAGAAAAATGGAAGAGATGAGGGAGCAGGGCGGACGCGGGGAGTCGAACCCCGTTTGACTGCTTGATGTCAACTGGAAATTCAATTGAAAGCAGTGGTGCACCGTGCACCACGTCCGCTTCTTTCCTCCACTCCTTCCCTCTTCTCATCCCAGCTTTTCGGCATTATAAAATACAAAAGCTCTAAGAGCATGATCTATGCGGATGCGGGGAGTCGAACCCCGTGTTACTGCTTACAATTTCAACCTCGTTCAAATGCTGCAGTCGTGCACCGTGCACCACGTCCGCTTCCTACCTCTGTTCTTATCCTCTTCTCATCCGGCTCTTTGCAGCTTCTGAGACAAAACATATCAAAGCAAGAACACATGCGGACGCGGGGAGTTGGACTGCTTGCAATCATTATAATCATCACATTGAATGCAGTGGTGCACCGCGCACCACGTCCACTTCCTACCTCCCTTTCCTTCCGCCTCTTACCATGATTTTTTGAAGCCTTCGAGTCCAGAAAAAAAGGGCAGAGAAAAGCGAGGCGAACGCGGGGAGTCGAACCCCTTCAATTGCTTACAACCCCTTAAGCACCGAATATATATTTGAGCAATGGTCCACCGTGGACTACGTCCGCTTCCCAGCTTCTTTCCAGCCCTCTTATTGAGGCTTTAAAGGCTTTGAGAAAAACACTTGTCAGAGAAAGGGTGAAGGCGGACGCGGGGAATCGAACACCATTTAACTACTTTCCACTTTGTCACCGTTCAGTGAATGCAGCGGTGCACCGTGCACCACGTCCGCTTCCTACCTCCCTTCTTCTCCCCTTACCCGAGTATTTCTCAGCCTACGAGAAAAAAAAGTGTCAGCGGAAAGGCGCGTACGGACGCGGGGAGTCCAACCCCTTCAACTGCTCGCAATCTTCTACTTGCCCCATCAAATGAATGCAGTGGTGCACCGCGCACCACGTCCGCTTTCTATCGCCCTCCCTTTCCTCTTCTCATCCAGGCTTTTTCCCGCGAGCGGCTAAAAAAAATGGAAGTTGAAAGGACCAGGCGGACGGGGGGAGTCGAACCCCGTTGGACTGCTTCAACACTCGGAAATTGTTACAACATAGAATGCAGCGGTGCGCTGTGCACCACGTCCGCTTTCTATCTCCCATTCAGCCCTCTTCTTACCCTCTTTTTATAGGCCTAGATACTAAAAAAGCGGATGAAAGGAACGCGGACGCGGAAGCGGGGAGTCGAACCCCATCAACTGCTGGCACTCTACAAATATACACATTGAAAGCAGTGGTGCGCCGTGCACCACGTCCGCTTCCTACCTCCCTTTTCTTCCGCCTCTTACCCAGGATTTTTTGAAGCCTTCGAGTCCAGAAAGGAGGGCAGAGAGAAAAGCAAAGCGAACGCGGGGAGTCGAACCCCATCAATTGCTTACAACCCCTTTGACCGAATATGTTTAAGGCAATGGGTGCACCGTGCACCACGTCCGCTTCTGTCCTCCCTTCTCACCATCTTCTCATACAGCTCTTTGCAGCCTCCGACAAAATGGATCAGCAGAGAGAAGCAGGCGGATGCGGACGCGGGGAGTCAAACCCCGTTCAACTGTGAAATTGAAGGCAGTGGTGCGCCGTACACCATGCCCGCTTTCTACCTCCCTTTCAGTCCCTTTCTCATCCGGGCTTTTCGCAGCCTTTGATATCAAAAAAAAAAAAAACCTCTTCTGGGGAAATATGCACGGCGGATGCGGGGAGTCGAACCCCATCAACTGCTTTTTACGCTGTTCTTCAATCCGTATAAGAATGCAGTAGTGTACTGTGCACCACGTCCGCTTCCTTTACCCGTTCCTGCCCTCTTCAAGTAAGATAGGCGCAAGTCACTCTCTACGAGGGTCACATGATCAAATCGTGACAGCTGCAAAGCTCCAGCCACAAAACATTGGGACATGAAGTAAAACCAAGAAATGCTATTTGAGTCCTTTCAAGAGATCCCTGGTCTCAGATTTTGAAAATACCCATTATTTATGGAGCATTATAGGATTTTATTGACCCATTTTTTTTGAATGCAGAAATGATTGTTTTTGCATTTGGACACGGTTTGGTTTCAGATGGCTATAAATTTTGCCGCTTATGTAAGGCTCTCACGGTACATATATGGCGCCGGCAGCGGCCGGCGAACAGTCAAGTAAGATACATGTGCCTGCTATTCTTCTCAAATACTTCTTGCCTGTTCCCAGTGAAGGATTCTGAACCTTTTCCAGGAGTCAGAATGTATTTTATACCATGACTTAATATTCCCAAAAAAATCTGCCCCGGAAACGTCGAAATTGAGTGAATTGCAGCATGTTGACAAAGGGAACCAAAAAAAAATTGCCGCGTTACGTGTGACATGTAACGCACACGTGACCCTCGTAGAGAGTGACTTGCGCCTATCTTAGCATGCTTTCGAATCCGAGCTGTGAGAACAAAATGCTGCCATGCTTACTTGCAGGAACCTGGACGGCTCCTGTTGGGTTGATGGAGTATAATGAATGTCTGGTGTGTAATTCTATTTGAGCTCTCCGGATTGCAGTCTTTGGGGAGTCTGAAAAAAATAACTGGATGACAATGGCGAAGGCGGACGCGGGGCGTCGAACCCCATGAACTGCTTGCAATATCTTGCTGGCCAAATAATTCAGGCAGCAGTGCGCCGTGCACCACGTCCGCTTAGTTGCTCCCTTTTTGCCCTATTCTCATCCAACTCTTTTCAGCCTTCGAACCAAAAATTGCCGAGGAACGCCACATGCGGACGCGGGGAGTCGAACCCCGTCTCACTACTTCGGGAAGATAGGGAAGATCATAATTGAATGCAGTGGTGCACCGTGCACCACGTCCGCTTATTCGCTCCCGTCTTACCCTCTTCTCGTCCAGGCTTTTTCTCGCGAGCGGCCAAAAAAATTGCAAGTTGAAAGGACCAGGCGGACGCGGGGAGTCGAACCCCATCAACTGCTTGCAGACTCTGATCCCGATAATTGAAGGCAGTGGTGCGCCGTGCACTATATTCACCTCTTTGCTTTACCGCTCTTCATTGAGGCTTTAAAGGCGTCGAGGGAAAAAAGATTGGATACGGGACATGCGGACGCGGGGAGTCGAACCCCATTCAACAGCTTGCAAGATATGAACAGTGAATTGAGGGCAGCAGTACACCGTGCACCACGTCCGCTTCTTACCTCCCTTCTACACCTCGATATCTGCGGGATTTTGGAGAGCTTTTCTGAGAGCTTTCAAGTTCCAACCACATTTAACGACACCATGATGAGAGAATTCGAATCAACCGGGGACTTGAGCGTGATTTTCGCCTAGCGATTTGAATTCCGAACGACTGGAAAATGGGAGTCTAGAATTTGAAGGAACGAGATGAAAATGAGGCTCGAATCGGAATTCTCAAACGCTCTCCGCAATTGAATACAAAAAAGAAAGAGAACCCAAGCTCGGGACCGCGTGTGGCGTCCACGGAACCTTCCACCCTTCCAAGAATTCCACGAAGAAGTTCTGGAAGAGGGCGGTGTCTCCGTCAATTCAATCAACCTACAAATTTGTGCGAGAGTCAGCGGTGTGTCCAGTTCTATTACTATGCGGCGTGCGCTGCGTGCGTGGCGGCGTGATCTCCGTCCCCGACGCTGCCTGAGCCTGAATCGTATCTTCGTATCTCCAGTCCGAGTCGACCGCGCATCTCTTCACCATATTGTACAAATGCCCATTTCCCATTGCAAATCAATCCCGCCGTCCGCCGCGCAGCGCAGCGCGCGCCAAGCAGGAGCTTCCAGTTCTCGATGAGATGTTGATGAGATAAGATGGGAGCAGGCGCGAAGACTCTAGGCGACGCAGCACCGCAGTTTCTCCAGAACTACACCAACGCCGCGGCGGTGTGGGTCGCCGATGTCGACGCGGTCTGCCAGTGCGCCATCCACCCAGCGGGGACTACGGCCAAGGCGCGCGGAAGAGCGGGAAGGCGCCCCACCCCGCGGGCCCGCGCCCCATCCCGAGCCTGAGCCCGAGCCACACACTCGCGCCCGAGTCTGAGACGGCGGAGGCGCAGGCGGAGGACGGGCTGTAGCTGCAAACGCGCGTCAGTATGGGTGTCTATGTTGTGGGAAGGGGGAGGAGACGACGAAGTACGCATCAAGAAATGAGGCGTGAGGCTTCGCTGATTGCGCGAAGGAGGCGCCGGGCAGCAGCGCCGCCTGCTGCGCACAGTCCGACTCCCGATTCTGATGACGTCCACGCCGCAATCCGTGCCCCCCTCCTGGGGATGCCCAAGCCCGCGCCTTGAGGGCGAGCAATGCGGCGCGAACGCCAAAAGACGCGTACAGTACGTAACTCCGCCCACGGTGCGCTCCCGCAGCTGACGACCGTGTGCAGGTAAAACGCGTATCGAGTTCGAGGTGCGCGCACCTCGCAGGACGGGACAGATGCCCGCATAATCCGGGCACGTCCAGAACCACGGCGCCACCGCCCGTTGGCGAGAACGCCGACGGAACCCTCAGCGCTGAGGACCCCGCTCCCAAGAAGGCGCCCAGTGCGCGCGATCCAGACCGTCCGCCTCCAGCAAGCCACCATCTCGCGCCTGCGGCCCCGTGCGCCTCGCCTCACGGGACCCTACGCCTCGCGACGAAGAGCGCCGAGGGCATCGAGGGACAGAGTCGCGCACGGCGAGCTGCGCCATCCGAATTCGTCCCCGTCGACCGCTGCCTGCGCGAGAAGATTGCACATCTAGACAGACACGGAATGGAATGGGAGGAGGATGCGAGAAGGATGGACGGGCGAAGGTCGGACTGCGTGCCCTCCGCGAAAAGAGGCACGTCGAGCGGCTCGCTCGCAGGCTCCCGGGGCACGCCGCGGCATCACAAGAAGAGGCGGAGGCCGGGCTCGTCCGCGAGAAAAGGAAACAGATGACGCGGGCCTGGGCATCGTGACGGCGGCGCTGTACCCAAGCACGTTCTTGCGCAGGAATACAGACGAAAACGAAAAACTTCCCCCAAATACCATAGCCGGCAAGGAACCCACGAGACCATGAAGGGACGCGAGAAGACTCACCTCGACTCGTCGAAACTGCTCCGCGAGCTCGAGCTGCTCGTCGCGCTCGTCGGGGGGCGGTGCAGGTTGGGCGCGTCCAGGCGTATACGGGGTTCTGATGCATCACACCATGGGCCATGGCCTATAGGTCGCAATGCAACAATACCGCTAATGAGCGATGCGAAATGATTAATCACCGCAGGTCTTAGCATTGTGTCCCGGCCCAGCTTGCGCACGGGGGCACCCGTCCCATCAAACCCGCGCTCATCAATCAATTCCTCCGCATCCACGCATCAATGGCGTATGAGCTCGCCGCCCCGCCTCTCCCTGGTCCGTGCACTGATCCAAATCGGGATGTTGTTTACAATTGTTATCAATCAGTCCCTTCGCCCCCGCCCTCGTCCGCTTCCCCACGATGGCGCCCCTCTCGCTCCCCTGCGCCGCTACAGTGCGCCGCCTTTATAGTTATTCGATGCACTTTGGCCAGCGCTGCCGATTCGTACTGAAGCTTGCCCTATTCACGTCCCTTTTGCCAGGCTTCCCGCCGCCTGCCCGCGCCCGCGTACCCGCTGCCCATTCCTACGCGCCACCAACAGGAATAAATGATTACCTACCAAGCCACCTCTATGCTGTACATTTTGAAAATTTCCGGCTCCCACCCCCGTGCTTTCCCCGCCACCGCCCGTTGCCCGCTCTCGGCCCGCCATTCCCGCTATCTGGCTTGCGCACGCGAATTTTCCAGATGGACAGTGTGCATAGAGTATTACCTACTCCATTCCATGTCTTTACTGCGCCCACCATTCGCCGCGCGCACTTCCACGCTTCTTCTGTCGGTCACGTGCATCCCAGCTCCTTCGCCCCGCCCCGCGCCAGCCTCCGCGTTTTTGCTGCATCCGCACGCGACTTTTATGCCGGGGAAACGATTCAAAGTACGAAATTTATTATTGGAGTAACCTCTTCACCGCTATTCAGAAAATGATGCTCCCGGCCCCCGCTTCCGGACCATGCCAGGCCTTTTCTATCCCTGTTAGTTATTCTCTACATGAAATGAGTATGAAAACCATAAATAAAACTATCCGAATCTCTTGCATTCAACTCCATCGTTCCATGCACTCCATACTCCTGACGAGTATATGTTCTCACGCTGAATTCAGTCCCGCATCGTAACTTGTCTATATACTTGAAGTCCAGCATCTAGAGACCTGATGCATATTTTTCGGACGTAGGAAAGGTTCCTGTGGAATAATTGACATCACCGCTGATTCTCCGGAGGGTGTGTAAAACACTCGCGGCGCCTACTCGCGCAAATGTGTATTTTCTCCCAGGGTGGCCAAAACTAGTCTTTGCGGGACTCTCTGATGCTCTTAGGGCAACGGGAATCAGCAAAAATAGTAGAGGCAAGCTTCCTTTGACATTATAGAGCATTTGCTCCGATAAAATTGAATTTCACAAATGAACAATGAACAGAACGGAACCTGGGCTAATGCTATACTGGGTTTATGGTTCTGAACAGCGATTCTTCGCGCACTTTTCCAACGATCACTTGTTTTTGCATGAACTTGGATATTTTTGAGAACGGTTCGCTTCCCTGAGATGATCTACCGCCTCAGAATTTGAATCTAGCCCTGTCTTTAGTTCCCTCGCGGCCGTTTTCCTGGTGTCTGATCAACTTTCGACAATATCCTTTCAATTTTTCGGTACAATTCGGTTCGGTTACTGAATGAAATATCCTGGCATGGTGAGATTTACGTTCAAGCTGCCTGGGGAATGCTGAACGAGCCCCGAGTTTGTGTGTCTGATATTAGAAATAGTCCTGTGTGACATGGTCACAACCGTGACTCTTCCTCTTCCGCACGACTTCCACCCGACGACACCGCTCATAGACGCTCTACCAGGCTCCATCTGTAAGAATCACAGGTCACGCAGGGCGTCAAGAACCAAAAGGTAAATTATAGCGGGGCGTCAAGAGTACAAGTTCCTATCAAGTAGAGTAATTCGGTCTGTATATGAGTGGAATAGGTAAGCGGGCGGCGGGCGGAAGCAACCGGATAAGTATAAGTGCGAACGGCAAGTTGAAACGGCGCGTGATGGTCACCGGCCGCTAACACCATCTCATAATATCATTCAAAATACATCTTCTAGGTCGTAACAAGGTCTCTCTGGTAAGTTTTTTCTAAGTTTTTATCCCGTCAATCCTACAATAATGGTCCAGATGTCGTTGAACCCCGATTGACCTCTCCGGCTCTGGGAAACGCTCCAAACGGCAGAGACACTGCCAGGGATTTCGTTCCATCCTCCTACGAGAGCAGAACCGAGGAGGGATATGTGCTCACAGTCACTGGTGCGTCCGTTACACTCTCCAACCCCGCCTTTGAACTTAGCTTCTGAAATAGCTTCCAAGTGATCACTTGGATGTTATTTGCAGCTATATCGAACCTTTCACCCATCCTCGGGGTAGCGCCCCACGGTGGCTCCGCCGCGGCTTTCCTTGGCGTCATTGGGATACGAGCGGATCTTGCCAGAGGCGGATGCGCGCGGCGATCACAGCGATCCAGACGCCTTGCTGGGCGCCCCAACACCAGCGGTGAACGTGGCCGCTCTGACGAGCGATCCCACGTCGCTTGTAACGCCATGCTCCCGCTGCCAGATGGCGCGGTGGCGGTCCCTCGGCTGTAAAGCATGGAGTCCGCGGTTTAGTTCGCATTGGTGCTCGGCGAGTGCCGCGTGCGCGGAGCGGGTTAGCTGCGGGGCATCGGCCAGGTTTAGTCAGGAGTGCCGATAGAGGCGCGTCTGCATGGACCTACACTGCCGGGGTCCAGGC